ACCACTCTGGCCAGACTCAAAAGCAACTGGTTAGAGACCAAGACCCTTCCCACAGAAGGTATTAGCCAGATGCAGAGCATGGGAGGCCTTCATACAGGGAAGGAAACATCAAATCTTTTGGGATAATAGACCATTATACCTCTGACTCTGCCCAGGTGTTTTGTTCCGATGTTGCCTGGTCAAAGGCTTGATAGGATTTTGGCTTTCTTAGAATTCTTGGAGCACTCCAAGCAACAATTAGCAAGTTCTTCTTCATATGCCATCATCCCTCCAGATGGCAATAGTAGTTGCACAATTAAAAATAATTTTGTGGTTGTGTTATTTTGGCAAAGAATGAGTATTAACAATGTCCCTGAATATTCATAATTTCTCCTGCCATATTATCTGAAAACACTACTGCTGGTACCTATTCAAGCCAGGATTGGCATCACAGAACCTTTTTTTTTTTTTTAGTAATCCTACAACTAATGTCTTGTGAGACTTTAGTGGTTGAGTACTAAATTCTCAAAGGACTGTGGGAAAATCAACCAGACAAATTACTAGTGTTTGTTCATGTCTGTGCATCTAGACTGAAGAACATCTAACAATGTTGAAAAGAGTTACACATGAGGCCAGCAGGTCTATACAGTATTCATTCTTTGTGAAATTCCACTCCATATGGGAACCTGAAGATGATATTGGATACATTATGAATAGCTGAAACTGGCTTTTTTTTCTCAGACTTTTTTCTAACAGTTGTATTTTGCATTCTGTCTTGTGCCAAATGTGATACCAGACACTAGGTATACAAAGGGGGGCAAAACAGACACGACTCCACCCTCATAGCTATGTTTAAAATAAAAGAAACCAGCCCCAAGGCAAATACATGGGAGGTTGCCATATCACACTACTTCCCAGCTGTGGTCCCTGTTCCTCCTTCAGGGCTTCCCATGTTTAGTTTCTGAGGCTTCAGTCACCATTTGCAGTTCTCCATAGACTCCCCTTGTCGATTCCCTTTCGTGGCCTTTACTCCACTATGGAGCTTCTAGAGTACGCAGGGCTCCTACTTGACTTCTCTGATTCTTCCTGAGTGATCTCATTCATTCTTGCAGCATTAAATTTCACAGACGTGTTCATGGCTCATGAATTTATATTTCCAATGTAACCCTCTCTTCTATGGATAGCATTTCCAACAGCACCACGTAAGTACCGGCCTTGGATTATTCTGGGTGTTTTCTCTCATGCCATGATTGTTTAGCTATTTCCGCCATCTTCCCTCCCCCTCCCCAACTTATATACCCCTCTGGGCAGGCTGCCTTAGTCCATCTTCAGTTTCTATCATGCATTACTAGTAAGCCCATAATATACGAGTATTGAGTTCACTGTTTGAGCTGAATTTCTGCTTTAGGGATCACTTGAGGCACAGGCAACACGCATGAGGATGTTTTATTTAAAGAAATAACGCCCTGTCCCTGTGTTTTTCTAAATGAACAATCTCAAATGAGAGAACACACTGGCACGGGGTGAGTGGTTGAGTTTAGAATGCTAAACTGAGCTAGTATTATCCCTTGTAGGTATGGAAAGTGCTGCGAAGCTTTTATAAACCTACGTTCCTGCACCCCAGCTGGTGAGTGGGGTGTGTAACCGCAATCATGACTCAATTCCTACAACAGTCCACTCGGATCTACTCTCTACTCCAAAGTGAAAAGACAAAGGAAACAACAGTAGGCTTCCTGAAGGTTCTCCTGCTTCAGCAGAGCAATGGTTCAACTCAACCAGACAATGCTGTTCCTTGATTCAGACCTGGGGCCCCAGAAAAAGCCAAAAAGAAAAACTCCCTGGACCAGGAACAATGTCTCCCAGTTGTTCTAATAACAAGACTTGGCAACCTCACTTCCTCTGAATTCTGATCCCAGTCTTGCTCGTGCCCACCTGTACTAACTAATCAGTTACTCCTATACCCCAAGAGCCCAAATTCTACCGGATTATCTAGACACAAACTGAGAACATCGTTGCACTTGACCTTCCTGTATGAGCTAAGGTCCCTGATTGTATACTGGGAAAGCCCTGGTTCATGTGTCCCTTTGAACAGCTACCACATGTTACATGCAAAGGCTAATTCTTTCCCCTTTGGTTGCAATGAAGAAAGTTTGCCAAAAGCCTCCATATATTTGAAGCTCAGGATTTAACCTCTATCAGTGTAGAGGACATTTGTCTGATTGCATCTCTATTGCAAAAAATAAATATTTCTCCTCTGAAATAGCATTTTGAATTTTATTTTCTTATTCCCTCTTACCCCCTTTCTGTACCTATTCCTAGATAACAGTTTATGCTATAAAATTTATTTATACCTATATAAATAAATATTTATAAGGAGTCTTCTGGGCTGACAGTGGTGTCATGATGGGCCTTTGGTATGCTCCCCAGAAGATGTCCCCAGCTATATTATAGGTCAACTCAAACACAGCACATTCGTGAATCAAGGCAATAGTAATAACACTGGCATACTAGAACCATGATTCTCAGCTTACCCTGGGTCACTAATCTGGAAATCAAGCCGGTAAGTTTTAAAGTAAGATATTCTGAAAGGAACTGTTCTCATTCGAGTCTTACAAAAGTCCTGTTTCTCTGGGCTCTTCTGGTCTGTCTCCTTGGCATATGCCATTCGCTTTGCAGCCCTCATTCCCACTGTAGCCTGGCCACTGCGGATGGGTAGACTGTTGCTGTATGCTTTGTCATGGACTGTGACTCCCCTCATGATGCTGCTGGATGCCAGGGCTGTTCATCATGGAAAGACAGTCATGAGGTATTTCCTTTGTCTTCTTCTGGTAGCTTCCAACGTACAGTCAAGTACATGCACCAACTCTCAGACTCCTTTGCAATTAAAGCCCTGCCAAAAGAACAGTTTGTATTCCCATCCAATAATCTTTTCATTCACTCATACTGAGCATTCATTACACAGCTCAATGTTAAGAGCCCTTTAACTTGTCATATACATGATGTATGCAGCAGCACATGCATTCAAAACTAGGTGCTAGCACAGCAGTACAGTGGTAATTATAAACCAACCACTCTCAGAGATGGCACCTCTAATTGTGTTGAATGTTACCAAAAATTGTATATACCTGTCATTGCCCCTGTACTTGTCTCTAACTACCATCAAACTTCCCTGCCAATCCCACAGACTCTGCCAGAGCATCTGGGGTACACAGGTCATGGCAATGGGACAGCAGCAGGTACAGAGTGAGTCAGGCTCTTGGGACATGACAAGGACACTGGGTTGTGATGATCTAAGCTGCTGCAATAAAGTTGCCACTTGAATATCAAATGTCCCACTTCCTTGGTTTTGAAATTCTTCATCCAGCCCAAGGCTACCTGTTGCCGAGAAGTATTAAACAAGCGCGGTCTAGCTAGCTCCCAACCTGGCCGCCTTGTTCCCGCTCTAAGTTCCCACACTAAAGGCGCCAGCCTGGGACCCCTGAAACTTTGACTAGGCTGTTGCCTCTGCCGATCAGCTCCATGGAGTCCAGCCCCAAAACCCAGGGAATATCCACCACCCTCATAGTGCTCGGCTCAACCTCAGACCGGGTAGAATGAAGACTCTTAAGGCTTAAAGATTAACCCAATAAATTTATATATCAACAAATACTTAATACACAAGATGCCCACACAATTAGAATTATTAACCCAAATTATCTAACCTTGATATGAATAACTGCTAGAGCAGGAGGGTAACATCTCCTGCCATCTTGCCTCTCCCTCTGTCCCTTCTCCTCCTCCCAACTCCTAGCTCCGCCTACCTCTTCTCTATCCAATGACAGAACTCTTGCACAGCTACCCTTGAAGGCACCATTTTATTGTATTGTATGTCTGCCTCCCTGAAAGTTCCCACGGGGATTTCATGGTTTTCTCCCATTATTTCCTCAGTTAGCTCTAACTCTATTTTTGCCATTCTTTCCATCCCATACCTTTTCTCCTTCTGATCTGTAATAAAACTAATTGAAAAAAATCCTGGGTATATTTAGCTCAGACAGAACCTAAGAGCTGGGCACACTTTGGAACCATGAGTAATGAAAATGTTTGTCGGTGGCTTTGAGAACCACTAGCATGAAGGGTCAGAACCACCAACCTCTGTTCCCAGGAAAAGGGAACAAGTCCTTCCCACATCTGTCTTCCCAGTCTGACATCTGAAGCCCTACCCAGAAGACAGGCTCCCCAACCCATTCTCTCCCATTTGTGTCAAGTAGTAGAAAGTCTTGCTCCCAAAGAGGCTCCCACAGCTTTCTCCTTTTCCTTTGAAAAACAAAGAGTTGTTATTTGTTTCCCCACAGAAAATGAAGTGGGAGTTGTCCCTGGGGTTCTGAGAGACCATGGCAGTGTCACCAGCCTGTGCTGGACAGGATAATTAGAGGTGAAGGGTACAAGATCTACACAGCAATATCTAAATGCCACAGCTGTGAAATTCTATCCACAAAATGTGAGCTTCCTACAAATACTAAAGCAGCCATGTTCTTCTGTTATCCAAGTTTTACCATCAATGAAGGGGGAAAGCATTCACTGTTATGACGGTTGGTGTTGGTTGTCAACTTGACAGAATCTAGAATGGTCTGGGAATAGGGCTTCTGGATGTGTCTATGAAGGATTTATCTTGATTACATTCATTAAAATGGGAAGATCCATCCACTATGGGTGGCACCATTCCCTGGGCAGGAGGCCCTAGACTGTATAAAATGGAGAAAGAGAACTGAGTAGCACCATTCATACATTCGTCAATCTCTGCCTCCTGCCTAGGAATGGGAATATAATCAGCTATTTCTAGCACCTTAACTTCTCAACCTTGAGCCCTGAGCTTTCTCTCATATGCTAAGAATACTTCAAAAAGAAAGGACCCATTCAGATTCTTTAAAAAATAATTAGCCATATGCTTCAAACCTAAGTTTTTCCAGCTTTTACCTCTCTTTTAGGATATTATTAGACAGAAATACAACATCACATGTTTTGTTTGTTTTCAATAACTGATCTTCAATCAATAAAAATTTATTTTTCATCTACCAGCAATATGAACACTTTTATTGCTGTTTCTCTGGGTTCTGTCTGAAGTTCACTAGGTTCCTCAAGCTTCCAGCAAGCGAAGAAAACAAAGAGGATTTCCAGAGTCAGAAAGAACTTCTCATTCCAGGTTGGGCAATTTCTCATTCCAGGCTCAGTCACTAAGAGTACCGGCTGTTCTTGCAGAAGACCCAAGTTCAATTTCCAGTGTCCACCATTCACAGCCATCTGTAACTCCAGTTCAAAGGAATCCAATGACCTCTTTGGGCTTCCATGGACATAGCATACACATAGTGCACAAACATACCTATAGGCAAAACACCCACACACACAAAATGAAAATAAACATTTTCAAAAGAGAATTTCATATTCTATTCAAATGGCATAAAATTCACATCCTATGAATAAAATTGTCTCTGTGAAATAAATCCTAGGAAAGTAGAAATTAATCTGCCAGCCTCTTAAAGGAAGTAGATACCTCCATGTATTAGTCAGGGTTCTCTAGAGTCACAGAACTTATGGAATGAATATGTGTGTGTGTGTGTGTGTGTGTGTGTGTGTGTGTGTGTGTGTGTGTTATATATAACATACTCTATATATATACACAACATACATAATAGATAGATATGAAATGTATTCGAATGACTTACAGGCTGCAGTCCAACTAATCCAGCAATGGCTATGAAAGGAAAGTGTAAGAATCTAGTAGTTTCTCAGTCACACAAGTCTTGGTGTCTCAGCTGATCTTCAGTATATGCTGGAATCTGAAAGAAACAGGCTCCAACGCCAGTGAAGGAATGGATGTGCTAGCAAGGCGAGGGCAAGCAGGCAAAGAACAAAAATCTTCCTTATTCTGTTGTTCTTATATAGACTTCCAGCAGAAGGTGTGGCCCAGGTTAAAGGGGTGTCTTTCTGCCTCCAGATCTGGATCACAGCTGTGCCCTCCATTTCTGGATTGTAGTTCATTCCAGATAGAGTCAAGTTGACAACCAAGAATAGCCATCACACTCTGAGTGCCAAACATGTCACTCTTTATGGAAAATTTTCTTGGATAATAGTGGATGGCTTCAAGCTTAAAAGGGATTACAAGGTAGAAAAAGGAAGGGAAGAGAGGAACAAGGAGAGGGAAGGAGGAATACGATGAGGAGGATGTGGGGCACAAAGTTGAAAGTTCTCTACTACTCTGGCTGGGCTGTGGGCTGTGTTCCATCTCTCACAGCTTTGTGCTATCCACTGGCAAGCATCAGCTAAAGGGTAAACAGGCTTCCCTGGATGAACTCTAACTCTCAGAAAATAGCTTAGTTGGACAAATTTAGATGTGGAAGGCCAGGGCAGTATTAGCAGAAAGAACTAAGAACTTGGACTTAGCCTAGTAAGGCCATGATATACCCAGTTACTTGGGAAACACCAAGCAACAGCAACTGTCCAGCACTATTGTGGAAGGTCAGGAAGACAGATTGGTGCAGACCTAAACACTTGCCTCATGCCTTCTGTTTGTAAGAGGTCAGCAGTGAGCCACCAGCAAGCAGATCCCTCTCTGGAGATCCATATTGCTCTGGAGAGAAGACAAAGAACAGAACCTGACAGTCTGTGGCCTTCCTGGTCACAGGAGGCACATCTGCCTTATCCCCTGGGCTCCACTGTATAATAACCATTTACTGTCTGCAGTTCAGCCTTGGCTTACGTTACACTGGAATTACTCGGAATGATATCTTTATTTATATTGTTGTTTTTAGAATTTCTGTGTGACTACTGTATTTATATCATTTCTACCCTCCCCCCCACCTCTAAGCCTCCTTGTGTTCTTCTCAGTTCTTCTCAAATCCATGAACTCTTCTTTAATTTTTATTGTTACATATGTATGTATATATGTTCATACACATGTGCGCACACACGCACACACACACACATACACAATACCCTCCATTTTATGCTAGGCATCCATCTTGGTACTCACTAGGCTTTTGTCTCTGACACCAGTCCTTGGAGGTAAGTTCTCAGTAACCCTGACTCAGTGATCCCCACCCAGAAATGTACAGCTGTGACCACCTACTTCTCATGTGATTAACTGCCTTTTAGCATCTATAACCTGCTTATGCAGACCTTCTAGTCATCCTGACTACCTAATCTTGGCAGAGCAGACCAGCCTTGGCTCGCTTGTGCAAATCCTAAAGGTCTTCTTGTGGCTTTTCACCTTAAAATTTCTTCCCTTACCCTCTTCTCACAGCAGTTTCAAATTAGGCTCGGAGATTGTTGTCTTGCTAGCAGAAATCAATAAATCCTTTCATTATAATTGAATTGAGTCTATGGTTTTTCCCCAGGGGTCAGAAACTCCATAACTGAGTACATTTAGTGTCTATTTAGTGTCATTCATATGCATATGTACATGTGTTTAGGAGTAAACACTTGGTACTGAATAACCTATCAGAGAGCTTGTCCCTGGAGAAAGCTGGTTCTCCCTCTCTCAGCAACCATTGCCTGGCTGTCTCTCTTCCTATAGGAATGGGACCTTGTGAAATTTTCCCCATGCACATTGGAGTGTCATCTGGTCTTGTTTAGGTAACCATATTGTTTATCATTTATATTTCATGAGCGCAACTTGGATAGCTATTTTTAATGTGTATTTTTTTAAAAGAGAGAGAATATACCAGGTCTATGCAGTTCCCACCGAGGCCAGAAGAGGGAGTAAGATCCCCTGGATCTGAAGATTCAAGTGCTTGTGAAAGACCTCAGGTGGGTGCTGAGAACTAAGCTCAGGTACCTTGGAAGAACAGAAAAGACTCTAACCACAGAACCATCTCGTCTGCCCCTGGAAAGATTTTTTTTTTTTAATCTTGATTTCCAGAACCTGTCCTAGACTGACTAAGGAGATTCTAGAAAAGTAGCTCCAAGACTTTAGTAACTCTTAAAATTTCCAGGTATCTCAGTGTGAGCTCAAAGCATGCACAATATGTGCTATCTGCCTCATCAGCTTCTCTCTGCTTTCCTACTGTTGTCCATCCTGTCCCAGTCCCTTCCGGGTCTAATTTGTTCTGCTTTGTCCTTTAAAGGATAACTCTATAGCATTCTGCTAAGTCTTCTCATGTTTTAGGTTTGATTTCTCTCCTTTAATCTCCATGCCTATTCTGCTGATTCATCTTTCCATTATGTTTGTTTGGTTTTGTATTTTCTTTCTTTAGTCCATAACAGCATTTATAGGCACTTGATGTGGACAGAATACTGTGGTAAGCACTTAGCTGCTGCTAAAAACAAACCTAATCTAATAATGTTCTCTGTTAAATTCCTCGCTACAGCTATGGATTAATGTCTGGTGAACAATTGGCATGTTGGCAAAAATCTATCTCTCTTCCAAGGAAACAGCTGCCTTGGTGTATAAATAATAAATCCAAAATAAATAGATAGATTGCAATAAAAAAATAAAAGAAACACAAATAGAGGCCAAAGCAGCATTAATAGCAGTCAGAAACTAAATACCAGCATCTTCTCTAACAAATTCAGCCTTGCTCTATGGAGGAGATGCTCCAATTTGCAATAGAAAGAAAAAAGGCCCAGATTGTACAGCCAGTGAAGTTACTTCTGGGCACAGAATACCTGCTGATTAAGGCTGTTTTCTGTTTGTTTATGTCATTTTTGTGATGGTTATTCTTGGTTGTCAACTTGACTACATCTAAAATTAAATGAGATCCAACTATCTCATCTGTGGAGGGATTTTGGTTAATTTAAAAGAGAAAGATTGATTTCTCCTCTGGATCGTTAGGGTGGGAAGATATGCCTTTAATCTACATCTCTTGAGCTGGGGGAAAACTCACCTTTAATCTGGATCTTTAGTTGGGAAGACATATTTTAAATCCAGATCTTTGGAGCTTGGAAAAACCACCTCTAATGAAGGACACACATTCTGCTGGAAGCCTATGTAAGGAAGTACACTGTTAGGAACTAGAAGCCACAGGGAGTGGCACTATGTGGAGGTGTGGCCTTATTGGAGTATGTATGTCACTGGGGGTAGGCTTTGAAGCCTTATATGCTCAAACTAGACTCAGTATGGCACTATCTCTTCCTGTTGTCTGCAGACAAAGATGCAGAACTCTTATCTCTTTCTCTAGCACCATCTCTGCCTACATACCACCATGTCCCACCATGACAATAATAGACTGAACTTCTGTCTGACCTGTAAGCTAGCCCCAATTAAATGTTTTTCTTTATAAGAGTTGCTGTGGTCATGGTGTCTCTTCACAGCAATAGAACACTGACTAAGTGGGGTATAAGAAAGCAAACAAATGAGGCTGCAGAGATGACTCAGTGGTCAAAAGCACTGACTGCTCTTCCAGGTGACTTGGGTTTAATTCCAAGCACCCACATGGCAGCTCACAAGCACCTGTCACTCCAGTTCCAGGACATCCAGTGCCAACTCTTGCCTCCATGGACATCAGAGATGTCTATGCTACATAGAATGTGCTACACAGATGTACATGCAGGCAAAACACTCATACAAATAAAAAAAATAACTATTTAAAAGGAAAGAACCAAAAAAGATGGTGAAATAACCCTGGGCTGACAACACCCTGGGTGTGAAATGCAGCAGGAAGGAGCCATCAGGAAGACCAGCACCTGTAAGAGGGTCATAGTGTCCAGAGGAGGAAGGCAGTCTCTGCCAATACCAGCCCTACAGAAAGGAATCTGGACATCAGTGTCCTTTCTTCCTGCCTCCCACTGGACAAATCGAAAGGGATGCCATGAAGCAAAGGAAGCAGACAGATTCAGTAAGTTCAGTCTGCTGCTAAGAAGAGCAGCTGACAGGCTTGTTGCTTGCCCTCCCTCCTAGTCAGAACCTGTCCTCCTCACCAAGCTCTCATGAGCTTTCTGTGTCTGCTGAATATTCACCACTGCTGCGATGAAGAAATTGACTATGCAAATATTTGAGTTAACGATCGGTTCTGATGTTCAAACATAAGCACCATGAGACAAGAGACCACGCCTGTCATTCACTAGTGAATCCTCAGGGTGTGATACACAGTAGAATGCCTAGACTCATAGACCAGGAACTAGGCAACCCGATGTGAAAAGATCAAGGACTCAATCCAGAGAGGTTGCCTTTGGCAGCTTCTAAAGAACTATAGACGGTGAGCACCGTCGTGCCCTTCATGTGAATATTGACGGCATAATCTGTAATAGCAAATAAGCTGTCCACCTGAGTGTTCTCACAGTCCTTCAGAACTCAGGGATAGAGTTGTATTGAGGCCAAGTTAATGGCAACATAGTTAAATGAAATGAGCAACTATCCCGGAGGCAAGCAAATGTAAGCATAAATGTAAATGTCCTCTGGACAGGCTAGCCCTGTGACACTCGGAAAGTGCTGAGAACTTGCAAAGTTGGTTTCACCACTAAGGTGGGAATGTAGGTCCTGGATCCACCCGAGACATTGGAACATTCTTGCTCTTTGGGAGTTTGTGTGTGTGTTTGTTTGTTTGTTTGTTTGTTTGTTTTTGGGCATAGAACTTGGTTACAAGTTTCTCCTGCACTCTGTTTCCTATTGCTAATTAACCTGTTAGGCATCAAAGATTCTGGCTTTCAATTTCTGAAGGATAAGCCAAAACATTCCCCGCCTTTTAAAATCAGTATAAATTTAGTTGGCCATAAACTGTAACACAGTGGTAGTATCTAAATTTTTTGAGATGTTATTCTAATTACATTTCTCTCTTCCATTTCCTCCCTCCAAATCCTTCCATACCCCCTGCCTCCCCATTTTCCTTCAAGCTCACAGCCTCTATTTCCGTTCACTAGTGTTGTATTTACATATGTATGTGTATACACATAAATGTTACTTGTATGTACGTTTACAGGGCTATTTGCCACTGGTCAACCAATTGGTATATCTAAATTTTTTACAATGTTTTGCCTAACTCAACATAGGTGGCACTTCAGGAGGAAGAAGAGGAGGAGGAGAAGGAGGAGACAGGTAAAACTAATAAAAATCAGGAAATGGCTCAAATTGGAAGCTGATGTTTTATGGGCTTGTTCTTTTAGACAAGGGTGAATCATCCTTGTCCAGCTTTGCCCAGAGGGAGTTTGCAGCAAACACAACAATCATTGCAACATCCCCAGTCTGAGCACACATATCGATCTCCTCCTTTGATGTTTCTTTTGATTACATCTGAAATGCCAATGGTTCTTCTCCTTTGTATTAGCTGTTAACATCACAGCAGACTCTCCGACATCTACATCTAATTAAAAACAGGCTAACAACATCAGATTCTACTTCTAGGGAAGGAAACAGAACCTTGCGTCAGTTAAGCCACCTCGAGAGCACCTCTCAAGTGGCCTTAGTAGCCCACATTGCAAACCTTGAAGTTGGTGTTATCATCTCATTAACAGGAGGTAGGCACTACAAGCCTCCCACGCATGGAAGTAGAGTCCTCTGGGGTAGAGTATGGTGGTGCACACCTGTAATCCCAGCCTTGGGAAGCTGAGACGGGAGAAATAAAACTTCAGAGTCAACACGAGTTACACAATACTTGTCTGACAAAGGGGAAATGTTCCTATGGAAGGGGGTGGGACAACTAGAAACAGGAGCCAAATTTCTCAAATG